CCATACTTGAAAAAATCACAAGGAAATCCTCTATAAATTTGGCAAGAAGAGGAAGAAGAAGGGTGATGAAAAAGTTGAAAACTCAAGGAAGATCAAATTGAGTTCAAGCCAAATTCAAGACAGATTAAGCATACCCACCACCAAAAACACCTTAGATACACCTCAAATACACTCTAGAAACACTTGAAGAAATCAAACAAAGAAGGAAGAAAAAGTAGAGATTTGGCTGAAACATTGAGGAAGAAGAAGAAGGAGGAAATTTCAAGCAACCATGGAGTAATTTGATCAAGCATTAAGTAAGGTAAGTTGAGTTCTCACTAAATCATAAGAAAGTATTAAATTGATGCTTATTGTTAATGTTTTGAAGATTTGCAATTGGTGAATCAATTGTTCAATTGTTTGGGTTTTGTTATAATTTATTGATTAAATTGAATTATGACTCGAAATCATGTTTATGATGGTTAGTTGATCATGTTTGATGACTTAATTGAAGTTGGGTTGATGAATTAAAATTGGTTATTGATAGAGTAAGTTTAGGCCAAGTGGAGAATTTTTAGAAAAATGATTGATTTTCACGATTTTAGGTTAATTAGTATTCTTTAAATTGATTTAAGGTATTTAAAAGTGTTTGATTAATAAATTTTGGGTTGATTACCTTAATTGATGAATTTGACCACAATCATGAAGATAGGATTAATTGGTTAAATTGTTAGTAAATTAGTAAGGTTTACATATGTTTAATGATAATTATATGATTACTTAGTGAGTTATTAATGTATTTAAAGAGTGGGTAAGTTTAGAGACATGAATTGGAAGCTAGAAATCATGTTTTTTATTTTAGAAATAGGGATTATACCTTAAAAATTTATTAATATAAAAATCAAAAAATACAAGAGGTGACAAACCAACCTAACCCAAATATACTAAGGGAACAGATTAGCCTTACCCCTAAAAACAAGACGACATCCTATAATTACATAACCCCATCCTATCCCGCCTACTAGCCACCGTAACATCAAGTGGTAAATGAAAATAGATCCTAAAAGTAATTATAGTCTTCTACTACAAAGCTCCATTAGCTAGTTTATCCACCACCTTATTCTGCTTCCTCTAGATATGTGTAATTTGATGATTGCCTATGATTTCCATACACTTACGGATTGAGTATGTGTATACCTGTGGAACCTTATTTTTTTCCTAATACCGTATTAACCACTAACATTGAATCCGATTCAATGATGACCGAATCTAAATCTAGATCCTTACACAACGAATAATCCATCATGAAAAGCCAATAGTTCAGCCTTTGAATTTGTACCCTCTCAATAAAAATTAACAAATCCTAAAATAAATTCACGTGCATCATCTTGGATCACACCTCCTCCTACACAAAATCCATCCCTTCTCGACCCATCTACATTCATCTTTAATTTACCTGTAGGGGTGGTTTCCACTTAAGCCATTTTCCTCTCATAAATTTTGGCTAAACTAGATCAAGACCAAGCTCCTACACCTTCCTTATGTCATACATATTCATAGGTTTTAAAGGGTATATAAAATACCCATATCATGTAGGTCAATATTAACTCAATAAATAATGTCAATTGGATTCATCGGCTTATCCTCATACTTTGCTCGCATCTACTTTTTCATAACTCTTATAAAACAAAACAAAAAGTACCTACTTGGCACATACCCGAGTGAGTACCGATCGAAGCAAACCAAGTCTCCGCACACAACTCCATGGAACCTAAAAAATGTCGGAGACCAAAAATTCTCCAAAAATGCACCTAAAGCGCCGTGGTCTCTTTCTTGTGATCCAAACAACAAAAACAACTAGACACAATCGGGATGCAAAGATCCTTTATTCTAAAGTCAACCATTAAAAAAACCATTAAACCATTTCTAAATGAAGACATCCACTCTTATTGGCATGTAAGCATTCCATATCCTTTCCGCCTAAGGCCACTTAGTTGTTAGGATGCGATAGTGGTTCAAAAAGGCCTTTGTTTCAAAGTCACCAATTTTGGTCAACCTACAAATCAATCTTTCATCCGTGCAGATCATCAAAATGTAAATGTTTTACCTCATCATGATATCTCACGGGGATAATAGACAGGAAATTGGCTAATTCCCGAAAAGCCTTTCTAACTATAAGTCGAGCATCCACTCGGTCGCGGAGACTCCAAAGGGGTACCACACCGGCTTAAATCCCAAAAAGGTGTAGTACCTTTTCTTATTATTCATTAACTCACAAACATTAAATTCAATAGCTATGTGACAACAACTTTCTAAATATGTGAGGATGTCCATATAGTCTTACCCATATCTCCACATTTTGCATGGAGGAACTGCTCCTACAAACCCGATCCCAACAAATAAGATCATGCTAATTTTGCCTACAAAGCCGACATTACTTATCCTAAGCTCCTTAGACCCGGACCCCCTCCAATTTTGGCTTACATACCTTAACTTAGAAATCCAATGATGCTTGTTTTCTCCTAACAAGCTTTAGAGAAAGTTAGCTATCCGACTCTCAATCCTTTTTAAAGTTCCTTTAGGCTCTAGTATTGTCTGTAAGCACATGTATAGGAATGCTACTAATTATTGATCGAATCAAGGTTATTCGTGCACCAAAAGAGAGCAATCTCATCTTCTATCCGCTTATCCTTGCCCCGATTTTTAACTCAAGAGGTAGAAAATACACTTGCCTTATTCTTCCTACAAATAAATGCATTCCTAAATGTTGCATGGAAAATTGAAAATGGCCACACCTAGTCCACTATTTAATAACCGTTATTCTCTCGAGTCGTCATCTTTTTTATTGTATAAAAACCACTCTTAGTCATGTTCAACAATTGTCCCGAATATTCTTCATACTTTTTGATCAAACCCTTCAACCACATAAGTGATCTTTTGTGCCATTAGCAAACAACGACATGTCATCTACATAGAAAAGATGTGAGATTGACAACGTACCTCGACCTAAGACATATGGTCGAATATACCCCCGTGATATAACGCTCTGCGTACTAACGAGACGTGACTTATTGTCCTAATGTAAAGTCTCGTTTATTAGACTTCATATAAGATATAGAAAAGGAAAGAAAGCAAAATTTTCTTTTTTAAGATTTAAGGTCTGTGAAGCATATGTCAAACGTCTAGAAGACAAATTAGAGCACAAATTAACAAAGTATAAATTTATGGGATATTCAAAAGAAAAAAATGGATATTACTTTTACCAATCATAAAAACAAAAGGTGTTCGTGGCTAGGCTTGCTGTATTCCTTGAGAAGGAATTTATAGATGCTAGAACTAGTAAGAGGAAAGTTGAAGTCGATGAGATTCGAGAAGACTCACAAATTAACACTTCACTAAAGGAACCCCAAGTAGATAAGTTACAAAGTTTTATAACTATCCCACAAGAAATATATGGCCTTCTTATCTCTACACATGGAGATGTGTTTACCATAAGAGATGATGAACCTACCTATGAAAAGATAATGTTAGACATTGATTCAAAAAATGATATGAAGCCATACTATCCGAAATGGAATCCATGTACACTAACCAAGTATGGAATTTGGTTAATTCATCTTAATGTATCAAAGCTATTAAGTATAAGTGGGTCTTTAAAAAACAACACTAACAAGGATGGATATGTACATACGTACAAAGTCGAGTAGTAGTTAAAGGATATCATAAAAAATAAGATGTAGATTATGATGAAACATTTTCACCTATAGCAATGGTTAAATACATTCGAATTATATTTTTTTGACTACCAAGACTAAATTAGGTTTTTAGCTTCGAAAAAATAAGAGTGCCAGTATTCTATAAGAAGAAGGCAGAAGCCGTGATCATGGTGGCTCGACCACTGTCGCTACCAAGCCCCACGTCGGTCGGATGGCAGTTTCCTCCCATTAAGGCTGCAACACCAAACCAAGGGACTAAGGATACTAACCAAAATATACCAGCAACCAGGCTGAGTATATAGAGTATATCAGTCCCGATCATGAAAATTATGAAGAATCTTCAATCTTCTAGTTCTCCAAGTGTTTCTGTTATGCAAGGCAGAATAAATGGAAAAACACCATTGGTATCTTATGTTAATATTATTAACCAACCGAAGGTAGTTCCAGGGACCTAAACAAAACCAAAATCATATCCCCTCACAAACATTCCTTTGGCCCCAAGACAACCGTTTTATATTAATTCAGAGCCGTAGTTTTGTTCTCTTCTATAGAACTGCAGCAATCATCAACCCAATTTCAACACACCATCATACTGAAATTCAATGGAAGGAGACTACCCATTAGAGATACACAAGCACATATTAATCTCCTATGGCATTTAAAGAATGCACCTGCTATTGGGTTACTTGATCCACACCATGTCATTGTGCAGTTAGAGACTGAATAGGACCTGGTTCTAACTCTATCCCATGAAGATAACAAGATACAAAATAGTATGTATCGTATATTCTGATGGAATACAGATTTCCAATTTTGAAAAAATAGTCCCTTAATTATCGTGTGGGTAAGATTGCCATATCTTCCATTAATGTTCTTTAATCCATCTTTTTTAAAAAAAAAAACGAATTGGGGAAGGAATAGGGAGCTTGCTATGGGTAGAAGAAAGAATATTGTCATTAACTCACCCAATGTGGGCCAATTTTTGCTTGGAGGTGGATGTATCTAAGTCTCTCCCAAGCCGTATGTGGGTGGGCAGTTTTAAGAAGAGTGGTTTCTGGTAGAGGATTGAGTATGAAGGAAAGCTTGATTATTGTTTTTCATGTGGTTTGAATGGACACACAACAGTTGAATGTCACAAGAGTTTTAAAGTTTCACGGGCTAAGAATTTAAAGCAACAAAAAGGGCAACAGCTTAGTGAGACTAGGAGCTTAGTGCATGAAAATAAGGATAAGCATCTTTTGGTTCCCATGCAGAGAAAAAAAAAGGAATGAGATGGACTACGTAAGGAAAGGAGTAGTGAATAAAATGGGGAAAGCAATACCTGTGATAGAGGTAGGAGAAAGCAGTAATCAGACTCTTACTGCTGGTGACAGAAGCATGCATAATGAGAATTTAGGAGAGGGCATTTTGCAAGGAGGTGTATGCAAGGTTAAGGAAGGAAAGGCAGTAGTACTAGAATTATATGAAATTGGCAGTATATTTCTTAATCGCATGAATACACCACATAGTAAGCAAGTTATTATTGTTGGTGACAGAAGCATGGCTAATGATAACTTGGGAGAGGGAATTGCAAGGAGGTGTATGCAAGGTTAAGGGTGGCAAGTCAATAGGAATGGAGCTGAGTGAAACTGTCAGTGTATTTTCAGATAACAATAATGCACATACGGGTTCTGGTGCGAGGAAAGTTATTTGTTTAGACATACAGACTGATGTCAGTGGAAAAAGCCAACATAAATCGAGGCCATTCCCATAGACTCAAATCCTTTTGCTGTTTTAGAACTGATAGAGGAGGCTGAGGAACATGAAAAAAAAAGGAGAGATAGTAATAAAATAGGTTGAGTTTGTTTTAATGGAGAGGGTATTTCAGAGAAGGATCGTGGCGGAGAGTCATTGGTATTTCAGAATGGTGATAGTTGCAGTTAAGAGAATTGGACAACCAAAAGCATGAACCAAGATACACGGGAGATTGATGGGGGAAGAATTTTAGGCAATAATTCAGGTACACTTCAGTGTACAAGTGCTACATGTATGGAAGACGGGTCTGGAATCTCAGTTTGTGAGGTATCTCAAATCACGAAACATAGTGAGGAGATTATTGTAGAAGGTATAGCTGACAATCCAAGACATGCAGAAGTCGAGCTGCTATAAGATAATGTCTGGAAGGGTTCTATATCGGAGGATGGAAAAAAGAGAAAAATAGATAGGGTAAATCAATTATCAATGAGTTCAACAGACTTTCAGAATGGGGATGTGAGAAAGGTGAAAAAGACGTTTAAACAATTTTAGAAGATTGCAAAAAATAAAAAACTTCAATTGCCAGATAGGGGCAGGAACACTCAGTTAGCTTACAAAGCATTAGGTATGTCATTTTATATTAATAAGTAATGTCATCTATCATTTGGAATGCTAGGGGTATTAGGAATGCTGATACCATTAATTATGCTTGTCCTTTGAAGAAACAGCATAGACCAATATTTGTAGCTATAATTAATCCAAAACTTGGAGGGGATAAAATAGAGGATATTGCTGAGTCTTTGAAGTTTAAATTTAGCACGCATTTTCATTCGGCAAGCACTCATGTTTGGATGTTTTCGAATGAGGATGTTAATTTAGGCTGTGAGGCATCACATAAGTAGGTGGTCACTATAAATATATCGAGTGTCACTTTTGGTAAGTTGAGGGTTTCAATAATTTATGGTAGTTATTGTAGGAGAGAGCGTCAGGAACTATGGTTTAAATTAGACTATCTAGCATTAATCAATTTGGACCCATGGATTATGAGGGGATTTTAATATCATATCTTCTACGAATGAAAAAATTAAAGGAAATGGGTGTGATATTCAAGGTATGAATAATTTTAATAATTATTATGATAAAGTAGGTATGGTGGATGTGGGCTATCAAGGTAGTAAATATATGTGGAGTAATAATCAATCGGGTTTATCTCGAATTTGGGAGTAGTTGGATAGTGTTAGTAAATGGCTCTTACGTATCATCTAGGCCAAATTTAATTGTGGATCACTTAGCTTGAATAGTGTCGGACCATTATCCTTTGTTGATTCGGTTACAAGCATCATCTAAAGAAATCGGCTATGTTTTAGTTTCAACAAATGTGATTGGAACATACGGATTTTTAGGCATTTGTTAAGAATAATTAGGATATTAAAGTATAAGGTTCCTCGATGGAGGTGTTACATTAGAAACTTAAGTGTCCGAGGAGCAAACTTAGGGTGTGGAATTAGTTTTTATACACCAAAGCATATGTCGACTCAAAGAATAGGAGCTATTAAACATTGGATAGGATGTGGTCATTTACAATTTCCCATGCAATATTTAGGGGTACCTCTGTTTGTTGGTAGAATTAGATGTATTTATTTTCATCATCTAGAATTGAAGATTAGTAGAAGATTGGGGGGATGGAAGTCAAAATTACTTTCTTTTAAGGCCAAAATTACCATATTAAAATTAGTTATCGGTAGTATTTCTATACATATAATGGTGGCAATCCCCGTGCCTAAAGGAACTATTAGGAGCATCAAATGCATGATGGCTAATTTTCTTTAGAGTTCTATAGGGGAGAATCAGCATCATTGGGTTTCATGGAGTCGTGTGTCTAAACATGTAAGCAAAGGTGGCTTGGGAATTAAAAGTTTGGCTCGTGTAATGTATGCTCTTCGAGCACAACTAGTACGGTCATATATGCAAGGCTCAAGTCTATGGGCTAGATATCTACATGGGAAATATTGTGATACTAGTCGAATTTATAATGTTTCTTTTCATATTTGGAGAGCCATTATACATCACTTACTAACTTTAAATTCTTGCAATCAATGGATCATTGTCCCCTTTTGGAGTGCTAATTGGAGTGGTAGTGTTTTACGACCTCTTTCACCTTTAGATAAGAAATTGATGATAAGACAGGCATTCCAAGAGTCTGGATGATTTTATGGTTTTTATACCAAGCCATTTTCATAATGAGGTTAAGTAAATATGTTTTGATGATAATCTTGATGATGTTTAATTTGTACTTTAACTAAGATAAGTGCTTTTGAGACCAAAGCATATTGGAACCATTGTCGTATTTCTTCTCCTAGATGGTCATGGGCTACAAGAATATGGAATGCTTTTATTCCTCCAAAGGTTGGTGGTTTCATGTGGAAGTGGTTTAAAGAGGCTCTTCTTCTTGTGGATTCAAGAATAAAGAAATTTCAAATTCCTTTAGCATCAAGTTGTTAATGTTGTACTCATCATAAGGAAGAGACAATGGTACATCTATTTATACATTCTCGGATTGCTTTGAAGGTCCGAAAGTATTTTGATAAATTTTTGGTATTCATAACTCAAATATGTCTTTGAATGGATGTGTTGATATTTGGTTTAGCTCTATATGTACTCAATCTAACTTGTGTCGAGTTGGCACTTTCTGTTTTTTCATGTAGGAAATTTGAAAAAGTAGATGTAAAGCTAAATATGAGGACATACCAATGAATGTTGAGGATGTTATTAGACAAATTAAAGTAGATTTATCCGATATGTGTATGTTGTATAAACCAAAGAAGGCGCTGAATATTATAAGATTGTAAAAATTACAAGATTTAGGTATTTTGTCGAATTAGTCCAAAAACTTAAAGGGGAGATGGTTAAAATGGGAACCTTCGAATCATGGATGCTATAAACTGAATATGGATGATTCAGCTAAGGATGGTTTTTGCACAAAAGGAAGTTTGATTCGAGATACTACAGGTGTTTTCATTGTAATTTTTGCAAGATACTATGGGGTAGGAAATAATACCAAGGTAGAGGTTTTTACATTTTTGGATAGTTTATTACCTTACCCCACCCTTAATTTGGTTTCAGTTAGTATTGAATCTAACTCTCCGGTGGTTACCAACACAATAGTGGGTTTGAATAAGGTACCTCGGGCATACCCTTATGTCTTTAGAGAATATCAAAAGCTTTTGGGTAGTCATAGTATTACTCATGTTTGGAGGGAGTAAAACATGGTGGCGGATAGACCGGCAAGCGTCGCTCTTTAGCATAGGATGGAGAATTGTTTTACTTGTTTTTCGAGTTTCCTATAAAAGTTAAAGTAGCTAGCAAACAGGATAGTATGGGCTTGTTCAATTATAGGAATAATCCTAATTTTTTAGGGGTTAGGCTTCCTTGTCTCCCCATCATGTTTTAGGTGAGGTCGGATTGTCCCCCCTTATACTATTTTGTTTTTTATGAATAAATTTACTACGGTACCATCCCTATTCCTTAAAAAAAAATCCATTCGAATTATGCTTTTGATTGTTATATATCTTGATTATGAGATATGGCGAGATGGATGTCAAAGCTGCTCTTCTTAATGAAAAATTGAACGAGGATGTGTACATGACATAAACTAATGGTTTTGTTACCAAAAGACATGCAAATAAGATTTGTAAATTACAAAGATCCACTTATCAACTTAAACAAGCATCTAGGAGTTAGAATAAACGTTTTGATGAAACGATCAAAGAGTTTAACTTTTCATAAAATGAAGATAAACCTTATGTATATAAGAAGCTTAGTGGGAGCTCAATAGTTTTTGTTGTGCTATATATAAACAATATACTACTTATTAGAAATGACACTACCATGTTGTAATCCATATAAGATTGGTTATCCAAAAATTTCTCCATGAAAGACATGGGAGATGCAACCTACATTCTAGGAATTAAGATCTATAGAGATAGATCACGAAGAATGTTAAGGCTCTTCCAAAGCACATACATTGATAAAATAATAAAGAGGTTTAGTATGGAAGAATCTAAAAGAGGACTTATTTCAATATCACATGGTATAAAACTCTCTAAGGCTCTTAACACACAAAATGATATCATTAAATGTCTTAAGTCGTAGCATTGTCAAGAATAAACATTGACTATATGCGATTAGACTTGTGAGTGTTATGTTCAAGCTATAAGATAGCAGTAAGAAATCTCATACTTATTGGTATGATGATGCCAAAGCAAGTATTTAAATGATTTATGTTAGAGAACATATCACTAGACTTGACTCGCCATAAAAACCCATTTGGTTTAGTCTATAAGAATCTCATACGAGATTGGTATAACTAGTCGTTTGATTTGAAGTCATCACGATTATTTCATTAGAAAATTATACACTTGACACTCATTTGAATAGACCCAATAAAGTGTTGCACATGGACAATTCGTTGGATGCACTAGAAATCTAATAAAGATTAGTGGATAACTAAGATAGGACATGTCATTCCTTGTATACTAAAGGAGTTATCACATTACACTTCAATAAATGTCTCGTTGGAGGAATCTGTGATCACAGTAAGAGTACACTAATAGAGCATAGTTGGTTTACTCTAAGAGCTAAGACATTTGAGAATCGAAAAAAATTTATGTGATCATAATCGAATAAACTAATAACTAAGTTTAAGATCACACTCGTGATAAATTAACATAAGGACTTAATTGTATGGTAACCATGCTCATGAAAGATAATTATGAATTGATTAATCCTCCTATAGAATTAAGTAGTCATGACACCTTGTTAAAGACCAATCCCGATTTATATATCAAGTGATAAAAGTATAGTCTTTTATTCTTAATACATTGCCAACATATCTAGGAATCTATTGAGTCACATACATAAGTTTAAGCATTCACATAATAAAAGAGAAGCAAAGATGCTAGAAAAATTTTCTATTTTTGAAAGTTTTCTAAAATGGAAAGTTTTCTATTTTAAAAATCAGTTTCTTAATTTGGAAGTCATTCCCAAATTTGAAAGTAAGTTACCTAAAAAGAAAATTAGTTTTCTAATTTATGTTTAAGGGTAATTTAGAAAATTGTTTCCTAATGTGGGCCTCCTAAAAATATCTAACCTAATTTATTTAGATAGTAATTAATTAGGTCAAAAGAGTTTGGGCCAATAGGTTTAAGTTAAAACCCTACAAGATATTTTGGTTGAAGAATAAACATGAACCTTATTCGATAAGGATTAAGGTTTAAAAGAATAAGATCGAAAAAAACCCACATGCATTATAATTCCTAATCCTTGGAGGACTATGAAGGAACGACCTAAAGTCCACATAGGACAAGTTGCCACCACCTCCTTGTCTTTGGAGAACAAAAAGGCCTCTCCCCCTA